CTTTGAGATCAATCCCTTGGCCCCTTTTGGGGTCAGTCCCTTGTTTTTGGGATTCCTCAAACCCTTGACCCCCTTACAGTCAATCCCATGGTTTTGGGATTCCTCAATCCCTTACCCCTTTTGAGCTCAATTCCTTGGCCCCCTCAATCTCAGTGCCTTGTCTTTGGGATTTTGGGATCCCTTGGCCCCTTCAGTCTCAATCCCTTGTCTTTGGGAATGCTCAACCCCTTATCCCTTTCTGGATCAGTTCCTTGGTTCCCTCAATCTCAGTGCCTTGTCTTTGGGATTGTGGGATCTCTTGACCCCTTCAATCTCAATCCCTTGGCCCTTTCCATCTCAATCCCTTGGTCCTTTTCAGTCCAAATCCCTTGGTTTTGGGATTCCTCAATCCCTTGACTCCTTTGAGCTCAAACCCTTGGCCCCTCCAATCTCAACTCTTGTCTTTGGGATTCCTCAATCCCTTGACTCCTTTGAGTTCCATCCCTTGACTCTTTCCACATTCAATCCCATGGTTTTGGGATTGCTCTGCTTTATCTCTCTTGCTCTTGACCCTTTGGCCCCTCCAATCTTAATCCCTTGTCTTTGGGATTCCTCAATCCCTCAAACCCTTCAATCTCAATCCTTTGGTCCCTTTCAGTCCCAATCCCTTGGTTTTGGGATTCCTCAATCCCTTGACCCCCTAAAAATCAATCCCTTGACCCCTTCACACTCAATCCCATGGTTTTGGGATTGCTCTGCCTTATCCCTCTTGATCTCCACCCTTTGGCCCCTCCAATCTCAGTCCCTTGTCTTTGGGATTCCTCAATCCCTTGACTCCTCTGAGCTCAATCCCTTGACCCTTTCCCCACTCAATCCCATGATTTTGGGATTGCTCTGCCTTATCCCTCTTGATGTCCACCCTTTGGCCCCTCCAATCTCAATCCCTTGCCTTTAGGATTCCTCAAACACTTCCCCCCTTTTGACCCCCAATCCCTCAACTCTGGAATTTCAGGGATCGGATCTTACTCCAGGCTCCTTCCCATCATCTGCTGACAGAACATGGAACCTGGAGCTCATTAATTGAGGTTTCTTCATTAATAAAAACCTCAGGACCACCTACCCCATTCCTGGGACAGGGGAGGTGACCAGGCGGGAAAACAGGGAAAATCCAACAAGCAGCTCATCCCTTTTTTTTTGCCGGTACCTTTTCCGGAGCGAGGGTTTGTTTCTCTCTGGTGAGGGAAATAAATTACCCCCGGCAGCTCCGAGTGCTGATCCTCGGAATCCGCGGAACCCTCTTAAATGAATAATAATTAAGGAAATAAATTTCCCGGAGCGCGGCCTCGAAACTTTGGCTTCAGCAAGAAAAGCCGAGAGGGGACTCAGGAAATGAATCGCTCGGCTCTTCCCGAAGAGGAATAATGGGAACTGTTAAAGGAGCTGGAGTGGCTCAAGGAAGCTTTTTCCAGAGGGCCGACGTTGTGTGGGAAGAGGCTGAGTGGATGGACATTGTTGGAACGACGAGTGTTGAGCCCGTTGTTGTCCATCTGCTTCCCGTGTCCCAAATCAAGGAAATCCTGCATAGGGAGGGAAAGAAGCAGGGTGGGAAACTGAAATGGCCAAAAAAAGGGAGAAGTGATAAAAATTGGGATGTGTTGGGGCCAAGGGATGGGCAAGAGAGGGATCACCACTAGAATGACAAGTGTCAAGGCCGTTGTTGTCCATCTGCTTCAGATGTCCCAAGTCAAGGAGAATTTATGGAAATCTTACACAGGGAGGGAAAGAACCAGGATGGAAACCCGAAATGGCCAAAAAAAGGGAGAAGTGGCAAACATTGGGATGTGTTGGGGCCATGGGATGGGAAGGAGGGGGAGGACACAGTTGGAATGATGAGTATAGTGGATGGCAAAAAATAGCGGGAAAACGGGATGACTCCGCTGTGGGCATTCCCGAGTCGGAGCGCCGGGAAGTGGAGCTGAGCACCTGCCTGGCATTGCTTGGGTCAAACCCTGTTCGTTTCCATGGATTTCCATGAATTATCCCTCCCTTGGGGCAGTGGAAGATGATGGGCAGCAATGGGATCAACGCCCAACACTCGTTATTCCAACCATGTCCTCTCCCTCTTTCCCATGCCTTGGCCCCAACACATCCCAATTTTTGCCATTTCTCCCTTTTTTTCCCCTATTTAATTTTTCCACCCTGCTTCTTTCCCTCCCTGTGTAGGATTTCCATAAATTCTCCTTGATTTGGGACATGGGAAGCAGATGGACAACAGGCTCGACACTCATCATTCCAACCATGTCCTCCCCCTCTTTCCCATCCCTTGGTCCCAACACATCCCAATGTTTGCTACTTCTCCCTTTTTTTGGCCATTTCAGTTTTCCACTCTGGTTCTTTTCCTCCCTGTGTAGGATTTCCATAAATTCTCCTTGACTTGAGACGTCTGAAGCAGATCGACAACAATGGGCTTGACACTTGTCATTCCAATGTTGATCCCTCTCTTGCCCATCCCTTGGCCCCAACACATCCCAATTTTTACCACTTCTCCCTTTTTTTGGCCATTTCAGTTTTCCACCCTGGTTCTTTCCCTCCCTGTGTAGGATTTCCATAAATTCTCCTTGACCTGGGACATGGGAAGCAGATGGACAATGGGCTTGACACTTATCATTCCAGTGGTGATCCCTCTCTTGCCCATCCCTTGGCCCCAACACATCCCAATTTTTACCACTTCTCCCTTTTTTTGGCCATTTCAGTTTTCCACCCTGCTTCTTTCCCTCCCTATGCAGGATTTCCATAAATTCTCCTTGACCTGGGACATGGGAAGCAGATGGACAACAGGCTTGACACTTGTCATTCCAGTGTTGATCCCTCTCTTGCCCATCCCTTGGCCCCAACACATCCCAATCTTGGTGTATTTTGGGATCAGAGATATGGAAAGGCCTTAATTAACTCCTTTAAGCCGACCTCCTTGTTTGAACCATGACTTGTGGTCGCGGAGCCGTCGCCGGGGACAAATCCTGCCTTTTCCCCCCTTTTCCGTCGGAAGCTTGGAATGTCAGGCCGCGGAAAACGCCGCTCGGCTGCGGATTCCTCCAGAGGAGCGGGGAGGGGGTGGAAAAAAAAAAACAGGCAGGAGTTGGGCAGGAGCCCCTGCCATTAATCACGGCTGTAATCATGCATTTAATGAACACGACAGCTCCCGCTCCCTCCGGAGCCGAGCGCGGAGTCTCCCGCCTGGATTAGGTACAACGATCACCGGGAGCTGCCGGCGTCAGGTTGGGATGATGCATGGAGAGAGAAACAACTGCTTTTCCACGGGCTGTGGGTTTCCTTATGGATGCTGCTCTTCCGACCGATGGAATCGTCAGGAAAGGGGGGGAGGGAAAACCACTTGTTCCTCCTGCGGGGGATGAGAGATCCCACCGGTGTGTCCGTGTGTTCTTCCCGGCGGCTTTTCCTTGTTTTCCTGCCTTTTTTTGCCTCCCCCCCACCCTTCTCCGTGTCGTTCCCGCTGCCTCGGAGCATTCTCAGGGGAGGAAGTTGCCCTGGCACTTCCTGAAATCCCTTTTGGAATATGAAGGAAGGGCGAGTCGCCCTCCTCATCCAGCTCTCTCCCTGCTTGGGAAGCAACTGAGGAAGAAACCGGGACGGATTCGGGAGCGGGATGTGCCCAGTGTTGTGTCTGGATCCCAAACCAGATCCCAAAGTTAACCCTGGGGGTGTCATTCCAGCTTTTTATTGGATTTAGGCCAGACTGCAGCGAATTCCAGCTCCTGATGTTGGAATTTAACCCTCCTCCCGCTCTCCGATGTCTTCTGAAATCCCAGTTTTCCCCCAGTTCCAACGCCATGGATACACCCTCCGCCTCCGGGAAAATTGATTTATTAATGGATTTATTAATGCAAATCTCTTGGGAGCGGCTCCAACTGGGAATTCCAAGTTGGCAAGCACTCCAAAAATCCAAATTTAGGCTCCTTGGGCCTCCTGAAAAGTCTGGAATATCAACCCCCCTGGATTCTGTGATCTAACCCCAACCATTCCATGATTCTGTGATCCAACCCCAAACATTCCATGATTCTGTGATCCAACCTTAACCATTCCATGATTCTGTGATCCAACCTTAACCATTCCATGATTC